GATGTTGTTGACTGGGATAATTCTCCATTGCGAAGGTGATTAAGGTCAGCTATGGCCACTCCCATCTCAAAGGCATCAATTCTCTGGAGAAGAGTATTGAGAATACCATGGACTGCTAGGAAAACAAGCAGATTTGTCCTGGAAAGGGTTAAACCGGGTGGCTCCTTGGAGGCAAGGATTCTGAAGCTCCGTCTAACACACTTTGGACATGTTGTGAGGAGAGACCGGTCCTTGGAGAAGGACATCATGCTTGAGAGGGTGGAGGGACGGCACAGGAGGGGAAGACCCTCTATGAGGTGGATTAATTCAGTGACTGGGATAATTGGGATGGGAGAGTCAGACAGTGTGATTAGCACAAGACAGAGCAGAGTTTAGGGCTGTTGTACATAGAGTCACTATGAGTTGCAAGCGACTCGATGGCACATAACAACAACAACAACATGGCCACTCCCATGCTACCCTTGCCCTTTTAACAACAGGTTTCAGGAACTTTCAGCCTCACAGTTTAGAGTCACAAAGTTCCCTGAGTTCTGCCAGTTATGCTATTTCCCCTTGCTCCTCCAGTAAGCTTGTGTAAAGCAGCTGGTTCTGGCTCTGTGGGGAAGCAGACTCAAGTCAGCTTTGTCTCAGGTTGGTCTCTGCCTCTCTGTTGAGGCTACTCTTGTGTTAATCTACCATCTGGCTGACTCAAGAATCTCTGGCCCTGAAGGACATATACTGCTTCCTCTTACTTGTTGGTGCTGAGAGTCACAATTTCTACTGCTGAATCCATTCAGTGTAATGACTAGACTTGTCAATCACCTTATAGATGGACTGACATACCCTATTTGCATCTCTCTGATGGAATCAAGGACAATGGCCTAGGAAAGCCATATTAAACAACAGACCCACAACACTGCATTAGACTCAAGCCACCAGAGAGATGAGACCTTACAGTTACAGTAACTCTTTATGAACTCTAGCAAGGTGCTCTGGTGTCTTTTTTTTTATTAATGAATTTTTAAATTATATTTAATTTTAGTGAAAGTTTACAGAGACTTCGGATTTCCATTCATTCACTGTTGCACTTTTCTCCCTGCCCCTCTCCCCCATCCCGCCCCAGTTCACTCTTCTCTTTGAAAAGTAAAAGAAAATTTCTTTCATTGTTATACAATCTCTCCCCCCAAGACTGTTGACTATGGAGCCAAGCAAACTAAAGCTGTGTACAATCTCAATCTCTTCACCATGCATCCTGATGCTGCCAATTGGTCCAGTGGTGAGAATCTTTGTCTTCTTGACATTGAGCCTCAATCCATATTGGAGGCTGCAGTCCTTGACCCTCTGCAGCAGGTGCTTCAGGTCCTCTTCAGTTTCAGCAAGCAGGGTTGTGTCATCCGTATAATGCAGATTGTTGATAAATCGTCCACCAAGCCTGACCCCACATTTCTCCTCATAGAGCCCAGCCTCCCGGATAGTCTGTTCTGCCTACAGGTTGAAAAGGTATGGAGATAGGATGCATCCCTGGTGTACGCCCTTCCCAATTTTGAACCATGCAGTGTTCCCTTGCTCTGTTCTGATGACTGCCTCCTGGTCCAAGTATAGGTTTCGCATTAGAACGATCAAGTGTTCTGGGATTCCCATTCCTCTCAGAGTCAGTCATAGTTTGTTATGATCCACACAGTCAAATGCCTTTGCATAGTCAATGAAACACAGATAGACATTCCTCTGGTATTCCCTGCTTTCAGCTAAGATCCATCTAACATCAGCTACAATATCCCTAGTACCACGACCCCTTCTAAACCCAGCCTGGACTTCTGGTAGTTCTCTGTTGATGTGCTGTTCCAGTCATTTTTGGATAATCTTCAGTAAAATCTTGTGAGATTGTTCTGTAGTTTCGACATTCTGTTGGGTCACCTTTCTTTGGGATGGGAACAAATATAGATCTCCTCCCATGCAATTTACTGCTGCTGAAAGCCTATTGGAATGTCAGCTATGAGTTGGTTTCAACTAGAAAATGCACAGCAATATATGTACGAAAAGGAAGCTCTAAAGGCCTAGTGGGTAAGGAGTTGTACTGCCAACCCAAAGACAGGTGGTTTAAATCCACCAGCTGCTCCTTGGGAGAAAAATGGGCAATCTCATCTGAACACTTACCAGTGGGCCAGCTATGAGTTGGCTCTGACTTGAAAGCACATTACAACAGCAATATACATCTGAAAGAAGTTTTCTGAAAAATTTGTCCTGCCCTGTCAGCAGCTCAAACTGATAGGGCCAGTTTTTCTGCATTGTTAAATCCAAAAGACCAGTCAAGGTCAGAGAACATTTCCTGGGAACAATAGTTATTTTCTTCATTAAAAAAAAATAGTGAAGAGGGAAAAAATTCACGACCTTGTCAGATCTCTAGACTTCAGTCAATCCCTGCCTGCCTTTCCTGTCTCTAAGAGTCCAGCAAGGCAAAGAAAAGGCAAGTTACCTTGTGGCTAATTCCAAAGTGCCATTTACAGTTCTGTGACACAGCAGGATTCAAATGGCAGTTTAAGGGACACGAGGCAGTAAGCAAAGGGGGGTGGAAGAGAGAGGAGAGAGAGCATAAAGTCTGCAAGCTAAAGCATAAAAAGAAAAAAAAATATGGAAGAAAAGGCACACACATAGGATAGCTCACACAGGAGGAGTTGCTGTGGAAGCACATTCCAGGAAAAATCTTAAGAGATTACTTTAATAATAAACCATGCATTCTTCAGCAAGCCATCACGGGATTAACTACCCCTTTCTGAGGCTGGGAGCACAGTCATCAGGGTTTTTTTTTTCTCTCCCTTTCTCCCTCCCAGGCAGGTTTTGTGCAAGGGGAAGTAACTACCAAAGACTCAAAATTTTCAAACATTGTGTCAAATTCTCTTCACTGTGGATTTTTGAAACATGAATCTCAGTGTGATAAGAAAAGACAATGATTTAGTCAGGCTTAGTGGTTTTGGGTGGGCTCACTAAGAAACCAGCCTTAGTTTTATTCTCCAGATTCAAGTCTCTTCATTTAAGATCTTACTGGGAAGTGAACAATTTAGATACAACAGGAGACAGCATGTCACCAGGGACAAGAGGAGTTAAATTTATCTTCTTTATTTTATTTTTTTAATGTGAACAGGACATTGAATTACTGCCAGAAGCAATATCAACACACTAGAGAGATTGAAAAAAAAAAAACCAAACAAACAAAAAACCTCAGAGTTCTGTGCTATCTACTTTAGGATTGCAGGGGAAAACAGCAGCCATGTCCATTTAATGCTTCAGGGCTGAGCCCACTACTCAGAAATGAAGCTGGTTTTGCCCTGAGTTCTCCTGAAAAGACTGCTCCTTCTGGTTTCTCAAACAAATCCCTTCCACTTGGTGTGGTAGGAACATTAACAGACGTTAACATTCTTTGGTAAGAGTTTCTCAATTGAAGAAAATAGGTTTGGGTGTTAAGTTCTTAGGAGAGAAAATACTACATATTGAGGTTAAAAGAGAGACTTCTTTTGAATTGTCAGAGTCTATTTAACATTTGGAAATGAACGTTATCAGCCTGGATTGCTCAATTTTAGAAAGAAAACCCTATGTCCTCAGATCACGCAGGATTCCTTTTGTCTGCATAAATGTTGTAAATACTATCTGAAGACTAAAATGTATATGCTTCTTTCTATTCATACCCCCCATCTTAGCAAATTATCTCAGAGGAATTTTGAGAACTCAACGCCACCCTTTCCCTTCCTCCCCTTCCCTAATCCCCACAACTGCACCCCAGGTATGTGGGGAAGATGCTAAGGGAAATTTGCATGGCTGGAGATGGAATAGAAGCCCTACCTCCCCGCCCCCCCGCCCCCCCCAGATCTGCGCCTCTTTACAGCCTGTGGCTCCAAGCCTGACCTACTTGAGAGCAGGAATTGTCACTGGCAGTGAGCTCCCCAAATTACACAGCCGCTCTGCAATCATGGCTGGGGCTTGGGCCACAAAATGCGTCCTCCAAGTCCCAGGAGCCTGATTTCAGCCCCCAAGTTTCCAAAGGTGAAATGCATATCCATTGTGTTGATTCTGCAAGAAAACCCTTAACTCCCCAAATCTGAATGCTAATATGGCATTTTCAAATTTAGTGGTACCCACTGCCTCCCACCTAAAAGAACAAACAACAAAGATGGGAGGGAAGAGACATGACTTTAGCAATAATTACCTATTTCATAAAAAGTCACAAAGCATCCTGGGGAATTAAAAGTAAGAAGAAAAATCAATTCCTACCACGTTAAAATCCATTAAGATCCCTGACTCTTATACTGCCCCGAAAACACTGTCTCTGTATGTGACACTGTATGTCACCAAATTTTAAAATATTTGTTTTCTCACAACTCATGCTTATAAAAAAAGATATGTAACATGCTTACAAACAGGGTGCAAATGAGTTCATGGTATGTGTGTCTCCATATGGACGAATACGCAGTAAGGGTGGCCAGTCTTTAATCTTTGTTTATAGCGCATGTATAACTGATATAGGTTGGTTTTACAGAAGTGTACACGTCTCGTTTAGATCGATTTCATAGAGAGAGCGTATTGTTTTTCTATCTGCAGAGACAGAATTCTATTTCAGATCTAAATACAGTGCGCTTTCTATATACACACACATGGCTTTCCCACCAACTGCAGGGCATCCACATCTGAAACGCAAGAGACACGCATTCCTTCAAAGGGGGCAACCGCACTTTAAACTTGAGAAGCAGCCCGGCGCAGCTCTGATCCACTGCCCCCGGTCGGGAATGTCAGGAGTAAAGGCAGCCCTTTGTTCCTGGGCCCCAAGGGGCTAGGTGGACTCGGGGTGCCACATCACTGGAAGTGGCAATCCCGAGAACGGATTTGCGAGCCGAAGCCCGGTGGATCCCACCCCTTTCCTCTGGAGTTTCCCTTTCCTGTCCTTATTTGCACCACCCCCTCCCCGCCGCCGGGGGCTTGTCCTGTGGCGGGTGCTGCGCTGCGCTGCGCCCTTCCTGCGCTCGCGCGCCAGTCCAGCGATCGCCCCCAGCTGGCGGGGCTCGCGGATCCGCAGGGAGCCGAGTCCCGGTGTGGCAGGCTTGCGAGTTAATAAACAGTTAAGTTTGGAAGACTCAGCAGACACGTTGAGGGGGAGTTACCAAGCCCAGGCAGCAAAAACATCCCGGCACATTCCTGGGGAGTCCTCAGCTGCCAGCATCTGATTAGAACCACATCTCTCGCCGGGAGTGGCCGCGCCGCTCCAAGCTCCCGGCTCGCTGCTACTTAAGCGGCTCCCCGTGCGCCGCGCTGCAGCCTTCAGGCTCCGGGACGCCGAGTCATGCTCGCCTCGCAGCGGCGCTAGCTAGCGTGTGAGTAGCTTTGGACTTCTTCCCATTGGCTCCATTTTTGGAGACCTTTCCCCCTCCTTTGCTTTTCCTCCCCTCTCCCTCCTTTGGGGTGCAGACCTGGACCTGGGGAGGGGGAGACATTTGAAACAACACCGGACAGTTGGTGGAGGGAACTTGTGGCCTGACATCTGAGGGCTGTGTCCCCGGAATGCTTTTTTTTTTGTTTTACCTTAGCGGTCTGGCTCCACATGCTGAGCTTGACATGTCACCAGCGCCTTCTTTTTGTGTGTGGATGGGTGTCTGCTGAACGCGCAGCTCTCACAGGGCTCTGGGGTGGCCGCTGACCTCCTCCTTAACTCCGGCGGCAAGTGTGTTTATTTTTGCCGCGTGACAAAGACTGGGACCTGGCTTGTGCCCGCAAGTAGGAGCTTTTTTCTGGTCACTGACAACATGAGGCATTAATGTGAACTTTGTCTTAGACCTGCATTCCAAAGAAAGTAAGTGTCTGGTCCGGAGACTGAACAAACTTGTTTAAAACCTCCAAAGCAGGCTGCCTTTCAACACACGGAGTGCTTGCCTTTGGGGTGGAAAGATAAAGTGAGAATTCTAGAAAAGGGGGGGATGAATGGGTTAAAACCATGGAGCCCCAGTAACATAGCGGTTTTCATAGCATAGAGCTGACTCTGTTATTTGTTTCTGCCTTCTTTCCTCCCTTGACTTCATTCCTATCCTGGAATTTCGGTCCTTCGTAAATTGCAGGAGGGAACTGTTGGAGTCCAAAGAGAAATTTAACTGGATTAAAAACAGCATTTACAGATTCTGGATATTATCTCCCCTCCACCCCCCACCGACCTACTCGGAACCCCCTCCACCTTTTCGTCTCTCTAGTTCGTGTTTGGAAGGAAGAGAGCCACTCTGTAAAATGAGAAGAGCAGAAAATAAGCTTCCAGACACATGGAAAGATTTAAGAATTATGGAGGGACGACTTCATGAATAGTAAATGTTGCTATTGCACTGTAAAGTGACTTAATGAAAAAATTTCTGGCCCTAATCAGGGAGTGAGGACAGTAGTGGGAGGTGAGGCATGACTAACTCAAGCACAAGTCCTGGGGAAGGAGGCAGCACCGAAAGCCTCTGAGACGTCTGATAAGGCTCCTGGAATGACTCAGTGGATTGTATGCCTGAGAGCTTCCTTACAATCCTGAGCTTCATCTGTCTCCCACGTGAAAGCGAGTACTGGCTGTTTGGCTGTTGCGGAGAGAGGAAGTAGCTGGCTATGGAGGGGAATGGAGGCTTATCAAAAGGCTGCTTGCCTCTGACACTTCCTTACATAGTTTATTCTCAAACCAGTAGCCAGTCCTTGATTAGGCTGTTCTTTAATGGTCATTCTCCTACTGACCTGACCCAAGTTCTGTCTTCCCTCATGAATGTAAGCCAGAGTCAGGTACCACTGTTTATTGTCTTGTGCATTCAAGATCTTGAAGGACTGATCTCTCTCCTTAGTCTTTAGGGAAGGCCATTTTTAGTGAAGTGCTGGTTTTTTGGAATAAAAAATGGAACCAACATAGAGAGTGGGCTGGATTTCTAGGACAGCTTGCTTCTTTCCGATTTTTCCAGAGCCGTTTCCCACTTCAGGCAGAATGGATTCAATGATGGCCCTAAAAAGGATTTCTCATATATGTTTAGTCAGGACCACAGCAAGTATTTGCTGGGAGAAAGAATATCTTTCAACTTTGAACTGGACATGTTTAGGGCAGAAATAATCTTCAGGAAGATGAGGGACGAAAGCCACAGACTTTAGTGTGAGATTAGTTTTTAAGGACAGAATCCAGAGTTTGAGTCTTTACTCAAGACTTTGTGGAGTTTTAGATTAAACCAAGAGTCCAAATTCCACTGGGTTCCACCCATTTGTTGCCTCGCTGCAAAGGTTAAATAGCTTTGGGCCACTTTGGTCATGTTGGAAGGAAATGTTTTGAAGGTGCTTATTAGCTGGAGGAGTTAGCTGGTGGTGGTTTACGTGTTGCGCTGTCACCCGAAAGGTCAGTGGTTCAAATCTCCTTGATAGATAGAGTTTATAGACTCAGAAACTCATTTGAGGCTCATGAGTCTGAATGGACTTGATGGCAGTGGTTTGGGCCCTTACCATGAAGGAAGCTGGAAGCCCTTACCCTGGAATCTGGTTGGGTGATTTTTCTGTCCCCAGGTTGGCCATACCTCAGTTGCCAGGAGCAACATGTTGTGGCAAGTGATGCTTGCCTGGCAGGAGTTTGGGAGACACACGTTCTCATTGGTACTAAGAATATGTGCTACTTAGTAGTGGCAAGAAGCTGCACTGCAATCTCAAAGGCGTGCAGGTTGAGGCCACTGGCTGCTCCGTGGGAGAAGGACGGGCAGTCTTCTCTCATATATAGAGAGAAAACTGCCTCTGCAAATCCACTGGTGGGTCAGCTATAGGATAGTTTCAACTTTATGGTACACACAACAACAACAGTTCTCATTCTGCTCCAGGTGACCAAAAGCTTGCCACCGTCGATATCTTCACCTGTGTGCTTTGGAATTGTTCATATGTTTCTCTTCTTCAGTCTCTGCCCTTGAGGGTTTGAGGGTTGCTTTTCTCAAAGACACAGCTAAGAGGCTGAAATACTTGAGAAGGCCGCTGAGGACTGAGGTCTCCCAGGGTCGGGTTTTAAGCAGCCCCAAGGGGCAGCAGAACAGACATCTCAGCAGGGAAGGCTTGAAAGCTGACCAAGTGCAGAGGCTTGGGTGACTGATGGAACGCATCAGGCTTTCTCCCCTTCAAACAGGACCAGAATGGGAACCAGATTGGCAATATGAAACACCTGAGGAACAGGATATGGTATTTTAAAATTCTCTGTGGGGCTGTGATGTAATTCTAAAGTTGACATTGTGCCACTGAACCTCACAGAAGGAGGCCAAAGTCATATTGGGATGAAATAATTTTCACGTCAGGTATGTGTGCTTCAAACCCATAGCCATTTAGTGGATTCTGGATAACAGTTATATAGAACGGAGTGGAATCTCCCACAGGGTTTCCAAAGTGGGATGCTTCATCCTCCTGCAGTCCCGCTGAGGGGTTCAATCTGCTGACCTTTGCTTCACAGCAGAGTGCTTTATCTACCTCAGCACCAGGGATCCTTCAGTGTGTTTAGAGAAACTTTAACTCCATTGTAATGCATCCTGAATGTATTAATATTGTAGTGTGAATCAGAAGGAGACTTAGCTATCAACGCTCCTTTTCTATTAAAAGAAGTTATATTAACGTCTCATAGAGGGAGCTCTGGTGGCCTAGTCCATAGGGAGCCTTTGCACTGTTAAGTTCAAATCCACCAGCCATTCCTTGTGAGAAGAAGGGGCATTCTCCTCCCTTGTACTCCTCATCCTTGGAAACCAGCTGGAGGGTCAGCCATGAGCCCTTTTTGATTTCACGAAAGCAGTGAGTTTTGCTTTGTTGTCTTTTAATTCCTCTTAAGAAGATTCTAGATTCTGAAGGCTACGGCCTGGGTTGGTTGGAATCCCAGCTTCACTACTGCCGGCTTCATGACGTTCAATTCTGCAAATTTATTGAACCTCTGTGTCCTTCTGCTTTCTTATCTGGGGAGAATAATAGTACTTACCCCAGCTTTACTGGGAAGAATGTTAATTTAACATATTTAGGGGAGCTCTGGTGGCCTAGAGGCAAGGAGCTGCAACTACAATCCCAGAGGCGCACAGTTCGAATCCACCAGATGCTCTGCCGGGGAAGGAGGGACAATCTCCTCCTGTACCAATCAGATATGATTTGATGGTACACCCACACAAAAATAATAAAATAAATATTTAGAATACCAGATCCTATCTGACTTTGAAATCTGTTGGGTTCTTTTGGAAGTTCTGTCGACCTCAGCAATCCTTTGGGATTGCAGTGCGGCTTCTTACCACTAGGCCACCAGACCTCCCTGGAAATAGAACAGTAGCTACTATTTCTTGAGTAGCTACTATTTGTCAAGCACTACATACAGTGCTTGGCAAAGCATGAGCAAAGGATGGGCCATCCCCTCCCGTGTGATTGACTGCCTCTGAGAACCCACTGGAGGGGCAGCCAGGGGGTCAGTTCCGACTCCACAGTACACAACAACAGTGACCTATAGGGTAAGGAGTTGCACTGTTAACCCCAAGTTGGGTAGTTCTGAATCCATCCGTGGTCTGTGGGGGAAAGATGGGCAGTCTCGTCCTCCTGTGATATTTATGAGATTTACGCCCTCTGGAAGCCTGTGAATGAGGGTCAGCTATGAATGGCCTCTGACCCAATGACAAGGAGTGGGTTGAGAGGGAGTCTTTGGCCATCAACAGCTGAATTATATGTGTAAAGGAGTGTGGTTCGAATCCATGAGCCGCCCACAAGGGGAAAGATGGGCAGTCTCCTCTCATAAAGATTTACAGGTTCAGGAACCGAAGGGAGGTTTCTTATGCGTTGAGATCGAATCCACGCAATATTTGGTCAGTTTGGTTTTTATCTGAATTGGAAACCTCGAGGTTTTTTTATCCATTAACAGGTGAATTATGCATGTGTGCAAACTCAAGGCAATCAGGGTAATTTCTTTGTCAAGAAATAAAACAGAACAAAATTCCAAAACTTCATTTGCCTACCTGGAAACTGTTAATCCTTCAAGTACTTAGGAGTAACAATGCTGATATATTTGTCAAGGCTCAGGCTAGAACTCTGTTCCTGGCACAAAAGTCTGCATTTTGGTTTGGTCAAGTTGACCTGTTAAACTGAAAGTACTAAACTGAGGCACTGGTCTAGAAATAAAAATGTTTAATTCAGAGCAATTGCGGCCCATACTATCCTTGCCTACATAGTTGGGCAGGTTGCCATGGTATCTCCCTTTCTTGCATCCTTCTGTCCAGAAAGGAAGCTTGCCTTTTCTAGGTTCAGGAGAATCTCAGCAATTGGTTGAGCAAAGTAGAAATTGAAATTACTGTTCAATGAGTTGAATCTTTTCTTTCATGTCCTTACTTTC